AGATCCTTTTTGACCCATCTCCTAGAGAAATGGAAATAAAAACAAAAATAAACAAATGGGACCTAATGAAACTTAAAAGCTTTTGCACAGCAAAGGAAACCATAAACAAGATGAAAAGACAACCCTCAGAATGGGAGAAAATATTTGCAAATGAAGCAAATGACAAAGGATTAATCTCCAAAATATACAAGCAGCACATGCAGCTCAATATCAAGAAAAAACAAACAACCCAATCTAAAAATGGGCAGAAGACCTAAATAGATATTTCTACAAAGAAGATATGCAGATTGCCAACAAACACATGAAAGGATGCTCAACATCACTAATCATTAGAGAAATGCAAATCAAAACTACAATGAGGTATCACCTCACACGGCAAAATGGCCACTATCAAAAAATCTACAAACAATAAGTGCGGGAGAGGGTGTGGAGAAAAGGGAACCCTCCTCTGGAGCCCATGCACCACAGCTAGAGAGAAGCCCAGATGCGGCAACAAAAGATCCCACATGCCGCATCTAAGACCCTGATGCAGCCACATAAATAAATAAATATTAAAAGAAAAATCCGTGGGCTTGTTCTCAGGAATGATTAGGATGTACCTTTCTCAAACCTCTATAAGCTTAGCAGAAACAGTTAATTCTATGGAAGCCTAGACATTTAAAAGACTTAAGATTCACGAACATGACCTGATTATTGTTTACAGGGACAGGTCTTTTCAAAACCTGTAGTTTCTATGTAAATTACAACTCTATTATGTTCTGCTTTAAACTACAGAGTATGTGCAAGCTTCCAAATTTAAATCTCCATAAATATGTATATAAAATAAAATTATAATTTTTAATATATACCTTTAAATGGTTGTGTTTTTATATAAAACGTTTTATGTTTAAAGGTTTTTTAAAAATTTTGGATAAGAAAATGAAATGTTAAAATATCTTCAAGATCTCCTAACCACTACCAATGTGATTTTTTTTCAAACACTGCTGTTCTTCCATTCAAAATCATTATTTTTCTTTTAAGTCCTCCATAAGTCTATTATTTGAACTAGCTGAATACAGCTCTAACCCCGTGTGTGAGGAAGAGAAATGAGCAACTATGTCATCACTGCATGACATAAAGGGTCACAGATTAAATAGTGGCACAGTAGAAGGAAATATAAGTAGCTGGGAGATAAAACAAGATTCAAAATCCCTAGTTTCTAAGAACTGGTATGATTACTGCCAAGTTCAACCAAAAAAAATGTGGGTTTCAAAATTTGTTACTTGACAATGAACAAGAAATAATAAACCAATCTGACATTTAAGATAAAAAGGGAAAGAAACCGTTTGTTCTCATGAGTTCCTGTACTCATTTTGCCAAAATACTCTTTCAAGTTTTCTCAAATTCACTTCCTAAAAAAGCCACTTAGTTATTTAATTCTCCACCACTTCTCATTCCCTCAACAAAATACAGAAAGCGCCGGGACTTCCCTAGTGGCGCCGTGGTTAAGAAACCACCTGCCAATGCAGGGGACACGGGTTTGAGCCCTGGTCCGGGAAGATCCCACATGCCGCGGAGCAACTAAGCCTGTGCGCCACAACTACTGAGCCTGTGCTCTAGAGCCCACAAGCCACAACTACTGAGTCCACGTGCCACAACTGCTGAAGCCCAAGTGCCTAGAGCCCATGCTCCACAGCAAGAGAAGCCCACTCACCACAACAAAGAGTAGCCCCTGCTCACCGCAACTAGAGAAAGCCTGTGTGCAGCAACAAAGACCCAACACAGCCAAAAATAAATAAATAAATAAATTTATTTAAACAAAACAACACAGAAAGCCCCAAATTGATCCCTAGTAATACACTACAATGGATTTTTAAACCAATGGTTAGTGGTAAAGAAAGCAGTGATCGGAGGAAGAACGGCCCCCTAAGGACACGTGAGCCAAACTAACTTCTTTCATTATCAGGGTTACTATGATCAGTAAAGCAGTGTTACAGCACTTAACATAGCAACCAGATTGTATCATATGAAATTGCCATTTTTTAGTAGATCAAAATGGTGGAATATTGGCAATTTCATGTGGTTCAACCACAATAATCTTATCAAGACATTTTACTAAAGTTTTCATGAAGAGATGTGCCTTAATACATTTTAAAGTGACACAGAGCTGGTATTGATGGCTAATACACTGGACGGTAGAATGCAGATTGTAAAAGATTCTTATCAGTTGGAACGAAGAGATAAAATTATTAAGAACTGAATAAAAAGACAGATTTAAAATTCTATACTACATTCAAAAACACTAATGGGCTAATTACACCACAGAAATCTGGCTTTAAAAGAGTTCATGTGAAAAAGATCTAGCTGAGTCCAAACTTTAACATATACCCTCCCTGCTATAGCCAAAGTGAACTATTTTCCAAATACACTTACAAGGTTTCTGACTTTGATTTCTTGCTCATGCTATTCTTTGAGCACCAGAATACCCACTTCTCCACCTCTTGGCCAAAATCATACCCATTCTTCTAGATCAATTTCAAATGTTACCACCTCCGTCAAGACTTTCACTCCCTCTGCTAGCTATAATCACACCTTTCCTCTGAAGTCCAAGCTTATGGCTCCTTCAGTGTAATAAACATATTCTATTTTGTACTTTTCTTCTTTTAGCTCTGTTTAAGTGGGAAGTACTGACAAAAGGAGAAATTCTAATAAGACTCTATTATATATAAAGACAGAAAAACGATCAAGGAGTTGTAAATAAAATTCAAGAGAAACTATATATGAGTCAGCCAGATCTTATGAAGACAAATGAGGGAGGGCTCACAGGCAGGACTGAGCAGTGGTTTGCATGGGGGAGGAAAACCGAAACTGGAATCTATAATAAACTGTAATCAGAGGGAGTCAAGGGGGGCTAAGTTACTTTCCACCTTGGGAAAAGGAGTTTGGGAAGGGATTGTGCCACAGATAAAGGGATGGGTAGTAAAAGGGAGGAACTGGATTTATGTTTTTAAAAGAAGGAAAAAGAAGGTAAACATGAACTTTTGATTTCTGCTGACTTGTTCCTTCTCCCAGTGACTCTGGTCAAGTAAATAAAGGTATTAATCATGCAGTTGCATAGGCAGGTTACTATCACCCAAGAAAGTTGGTCACACCCAGAGATAAGGGAGTAAAACAGGGTGTCAATAAGCTCAATAAGGATAAGGAGAGAGAAAAGGCAGTTCCTAGCAAAGAAAGTCTCATACAAAGTCAGCACAAATAATACAAACTGAATTAAAATACAAATTCTCTTCCAAAATTTGAAAGGCTGCACGTGGATAAAGGACTAAACTTATAGAGAATCAGAGGACAAAAGTAGATCAATACGTAGAAGATCCAAGGGACTAGCTTCTGGTGCACAAAAAACATAATAACTAAAAACTGTCTCAAATAAACACTTTTTTTTGTTTTTTTAGTAATATATAGTTCAAACAACAGTTAAAGTGAAGATCAGGGATAGATGGGTTTCTTGCATTAAGGAGGAGGTTGAATTAATACTAAGGACTAAGGTCCCTAACAACTCAAATTGTTTTTTATTTTTTTGACGTTTATAATTTCTTTTAATTGTCAGTAGAAGTGCGAGTTGTCAGTATATCTGGTGTAGGAAATGATAAATGTATAAACTCCAAATCCAAGATATATGACACTGTATTTTCTAAAATAATGGTTGATAATCAACTTCTTGTATTGTGTGACCTTGGATATAATTTTATTTTAATTCCCCATGCCGCATGGCACGGCCAAAAAATGGAAAAAAGAAAAAAACCTGTCAGAAGTCAAGCTCCAATTTATCATCTCTCCTTGGTCTGTCCCCGTTACAGGAGAGGATGAGGGGATGTTTGCTTCCTGACTGGACTTGCTTTTCACAAAGTCCTGCTGGGGGTTACTCAGTACCCTGTGGCCTTCAAGGGTATTGCCAATTGTTTAGTTTTTCAACTGTCTAGTATTTATCCTAGTTCTCTTTTTTTTCCTTTTTTATTTTATTTCATTTTTTTACTGAAATACAGTTGATTTACAATTTTGTGTTAATTTCTGCTGCATATATATATGCCATATACACACATATACATACACACTCTTTTTTATCTTCTTTTCCATTATGGTTTATCTCACCAGGATATTGAATATCGTTCCTTACATCTCAAATTCTATATGAACAAATATAAATGCATTAGCACATATTTATTTTGTCTAACCTAAAATCAGTACTGGGAAGAAAAGAATACCAGACCAGCTGTTAGGGGATCTGGCTCCTGCTCTGTGGCACGGAATGGAACCTCCTACCAGTCCCTGCTCTTCCTCAACTTTTCATTCCTCCCCTGCACAAGTCGTCCACTAGACCAGGTCAGCTTAGAGGTTTGCTAGGGACTCGTCTCTTGCTTCGCACATGCTTCCTTGCAACATACTTCTCAATTTGAATATAGAGTTTCACAGGCAGAGAAAATTTAAAACTACTCAACAGATGATCTCTAATCCAAGGCCACTCACAGGTCTTAAAACTGGGATTCTAATTTTTGATATATGACATTTACCTCCAATAATTTGCAAAGCAACAATAAAATCAAATTCACGAGTGGCCAACACTCAAGTCTGACACTACAAGATGAAAGGACTATACATGTCCAAGAGTATCAACTCGTTTAAGTAGTTTACCAAAAGATAGTAGTCTCTATCTTAGAGACAGTATCTTAAATTTAAACGATTCAAAAATTTTCTACCAGAGTTAAGAGCTGCCCCTCCCAAGGAAGGGAAAACATAAATACATGCATAAATTTTTATCAAATAAACTGAGTTTCATCTTCTGAAATTTATTGAACACAGTAGGAGTTGCGGGTACAGGGCAAGGAGAATACAGTCAGTAGAAATAAATCTAAACATATTTTGTTTAGGAAGACAAATCCTAACACCTGCATAGTGTATCAAATACTTTCATAATTAAAACTCTTGTATGCTTTTGAAGAGGTAACCCTTTGGATTTTACAAACCTGTGGATTATCCATGTACCATACAAAACTATCTTCTCTGGTATCCAGTATGAAGTACCTCCGAAGAAATTTCCCACTGTTTTCATTTTCTTCAATGTCTAGAAAACCACAAATGCGATTCTGACGATCCACATAAGGCATTTCTGGGCTTGAACATTACACTGTAAAATAAAAACATTAACAGTAAGTACTTCTCAGTGGACTTCAAGCATTAAATGTGCTATGGTATGGTTTATTCAACAAAGAACCTACTTTCCAACATTAGGTGGGGGCTGGTTAATGTGAATACATAAAAGCATGGGCAAAAATGACTTGAAATTAAGCTTATTGTGAGTGGTTACTAAATGCAACTATACAGAACTGATGTGGACAAGGGACAGCTATTCATGTCAGCTGCATAATTTACTTAACTTTTCACTATGAGTAGGCATCGTCATCCCCATTTCATAGGTAAGAAATATAACACTGAGAAGGGGAAGTGCCTTTCCAAGATTAGTGAACTAGCAGGTAATGAATCAGAACATGAACCCAGATTCTTGGACTCCAGAGCTTATATCTTAACGTTTACATCATCCTGTCACTCTAAAACCCTTGGTATTATTAAAACCAAAATGAATCAAAATAAAGTAAGCTAACATCATGAAAAGAGAGATAAGCAGGTATTATGTGCCCCCGAATGGAAGACACAAACATCACCAATAAAGAGCATATAACAAAAAAAAAAACAAAAAAAAAGGTTTATCTCAATCTGATCAAGTTTCTAGATTTCCCTAAGTCCAGCTTCCAGTTCACAGGAAACAAAGAACACAGAAGAACATATTAAACTTCACCACAGGTATTCAATCAGCAAAAGTGGACCGTGGGAAACATCAGGACCAAAAGCCCAGTTTCTTCAGCAAATAAACTACTACAGGGGAAAAAAAAAAAAGGAGAGAGAGAGAAAGAGAAGTCACAGATTAAAAGAGACTTCAGAAGCATATCATATTCTGATTCTGAAGTACTGAAATTTTTGTTATGTTCATTAAAGTTAAAAACCATGGCTTGGATAACAAGCAGTGTTTCCATCCATTTTTCTCTAAAAACTGTATAGATATGTGATTCCCTCCTGATGTGATGCAAATCTGCAGACTATTCCTACTCCAAAGGTACTTCTACAGCCAGCGCCAACATCTTTCGGCAGGTTGAATTATTTATGTAACTATTTTTTCGTTTAACTCACGGTGAAAATTCAATTAGAATACGCCCTGACATACTGTTTATCTAAATCACTATTCTGTATACAGCCAGAGAAATGGTGAAACACACCAAAAAGTTTTCTTTAATTAATCAGTTTATTTATTTATTTTTGGCTGCAATGGTTCTTCATTGCTGCACATGGGCTTTCTCTAGTTGCGGCATGCAGGGGACGCTCTT